GGGGGAGAGAGGAGGGGAGACGGGGCCAGCTGGGGGTGTCACAGCAGCTGCCAGTGCCCTCCCGGGAAGCTGGCTCTGCCCACCCTCCTCCAGAGCTCCTGGTGACTTGGCTCTAACCCATCTCGCTCCCCTCACCCAGCTGCCCTGGCTCTGCCAGGCCTCCCCACTGAACCTCCCCACCCCCAGCCATCCCTCTGGAGCACCCCAGTCCCCATATCACAGTCATCACACCTGACTCCAGTTACACCAGTAGCTAGTCTGTTCCTGCTCTCTCTGCACAGCTGCTCTTGGCCTTGCCTGGCACCAGTCTGAAACTTACAGAGAGCCTAATGCCAAGGACTAAGCACCTTTTACTTCCATCCTTCCCTTCTTCCACCTCACTTACTAGCTGGGCCCCCCTGCCTTGCCAGCCTGCTGGCACAGGTTCAGCTACCCATCAGCAAGGCCCCCAGTCTAAGTCAAAGTTTGGCAGCACTTACTGGCTTCCCCTGCTGCCAGCCAGTTGCTATGGGGCATTTAACACAGCCAAACCTTCTCCTTGCCTCCTCGAACGGGGCATCTTCCTCACCCCACTGCAGTCCTCCACTCCACTCTCACCCTTATGCTGATCTCCCCTCCTCCCCAGGCCCCAGGGTTCCCCCTGAGTTAACCTGGGCAGACCGCAGGGCTGCGGCATGACTTGCTTTGTGAAGGATGGCTTTCCTGCACTGAATCACCACTACAGGATTTTGACATGCAGATGTGTCCCCCAGGCGTCCCACGTGGCGCTGAGCATGCCTGGGTGTGCAACACCCACACACTGCCAGGGGCACCAGCTGCAGTGCCCAGGGCTTTGGCGTGTTCAGGGAGTGACCCAAATTGTGTGGTGAGGTTGGCAAAAAGGCTGCAGCGGGAGGCCCCGTGCCCTCTTTGGACTCCTGAGAGACATGTACAAAGTTGTCACAGTGCTTTGATTTAATTTTGATTTAACCTCTTTGCCAACTGCAGGACAGACACTTCAGTGGCACAGGCTTTGCCCCCAGCCTGCCAGCAGCCACTCAAGGGCCCAGAGCAGCCCTTACCTTCCTTCTCCTGGAGCAGGGAGTAACACTGGAGCAGGACTTGTGACAGCAGCTGGATGCCTCGCCCTCGCAACCGAAGATCTGTGTTCTCCAGACAAGACCTAGCCCAAGTGGGGAGAAAGCCCAAGAGGCCTGTTGTGAGCAGGGACACCCAAGCAGGAAGCACATCCTGAGCAGACACATTATAAAAACAAAGAGGTGCCGCTCTCTGGGCAGGGGGGCGGTGGCCCAGTCCTGCCTGACTTGCTGGCAGGGTAGGAGCAGACTCCTCTTCCCCTGACCATGCTGCATGCATGCACCCAGCCCCAGAGCCACACAGCAATAAATCCAAGTTCTCAAGTCGGACCAAAGAAATTGCTCTTGCACCATGCTCTGCACCTGAAACTCAGGCTCCCAGGATCACAAGGGCCAAAAAAGGGGAAAGCCTCTTACGAGGCAAACCCAGCCCCCAGCACGGGAGAAACGAGCCTCCCCGAGTCCCAGACCATGACAGCTTGGAGACAGAAGCCAAAGCTGAGTGCCAGCCAACTCGTGACATGGTGATGTGCAGCTGTGTGCTCAGGCAGCTCCTGCTGGGGACAGTCCCAACCGAGAAGTGCCCTGCAGCTGGCTGCCTGCCACAACACCTCTCCTCAGTCCTGGGAGGACAAAGCACTGGTCAGGCCCCGTGCTGTGAGCAGACAACATCCTTGCAGGCCTGTGCGCTGTGGTGTATCTACCAGCGCTGAAGCTAGCTCGTCCTGGGTGAGGATGCACACTTTTTCTTCTCACTGTCCCTCCTTGCGGGAATCTCCCCTGCAAGGCCCTTACACAATGTATAACATGTATAAGGCTTTTCTTACCCCAAGGCTTCCACAAGCTGCAGCACAGTCCAGCTTCCATCTTTCACACCTGGAGAAAGGAGGTAAAGAGAGTGAACCAAAGAGACTCCCAGACCATCAGCCAGGCACAGCGCTGGAGACAGATGCTGGGAAGGGCCCCGGCACCGCAGTGGGAAAGGCTGGTGGGGTGCCAGCACCTTGCTAAGCACCAAAGAAGCCATGTGCACTCAGCTGGTGGAGCTGCTTCCAGCCCTGCCTGTGAACATGTCTGGGACTGAAAGCTGCCTCGACTGGATCAGAGCCGAGAGCAGGCAGCAAGGGGTGAACTTGCCTGCACTTTGCCTCTACCCTCTCCATGCAGCCTGGCTGCATCCGTGACCAACGCGTGGCTCCTGAGAGAGGCAGCCTTGCTGTGCTCCACTTCGCTGAGATGCCAAAAAACGCTTCTCTAATGTGAGCAAGCCAGGAGGAGACAGGACAGCCCCCCAGGTACTTCCTGAGGGAGAGCTAGCTGACCAAAGAGCCCAGACACTAGCGATCACCCAGCTTCCCACCTTGGCTCCACCACCTCCACGCTATGCTGAGCAAGACCTGCACAAACTCCCTCCAAGATGGAGGACAGGGAGAAAGGCAGCTTTGTGGTCAGAGGAAGATGAAGCATTGGGACTCCTGGAGTCTATTTCCAGCTCTGACTCAGATACCCTGCCAGGTTGCCTCACTCACCTCCTGCCTCAATATTCTTGCAACTCAACTGGGGGAAGAGTCACTCCTCGGGAGGCTTTGGTAAGGACATGCTGCATCCTACAAGAGCCTTGGCAGAAGGACATGTTCTCCACTCCCGGCACCCACTGCCAATGTGACACCTTCCCAGTAGGAAAGCTCTGCGTGTGCCCTGTGGTCAGACACAGGGTGGGAGGCAAGGGACTGCCTTACCTTCAGCCCTCTAACCTGTAGCTCAGTGTGGCAAGGGACACTGCTGGGAAACAAGCAGCACCCCTCACTCTCCACCTGGATGAAGCAGCTTTCCTCCACAAAAAAAAAAAGCACCTTCCAGTCACCGAGCCTCACTGTCTTTGCCCAGGAGCACTTCTGGGCACTCGGGAGAGCCCTGTTCATCCCTCTGCCCTGCTGAAGTCTTGCCTGCACAACTGACAGGGCACCCACCCCCTCAGAGGCCTACAGGGTTTCATTCGGGGCTTTCCCAGGCCTTGTCTCAGCTAGCGTCTCCTGCCGTTGCAAGCATTTACTACCTCTTCCTAAGCAGTTAATTCCAGTATTAAGTCATGCTATTCATCAGAGAGGGGGTCTCTGGGGATGGGAGAAGGGTTAACAGTGGTTTTTGACAGCAGACAGCCCCGGCTCCAGAGATACAACTTCCAGTCCCCCTTGGCACAGCACGGAGAGGGAGCCTGGACTGAGGGACAGAACAGCTAAGGGGAGCTGCAAGGAAGAAGAGGATCCCAGCAGGTCGCAGAGTCAACAGGCACAGACTGAACAGGGGGTGTCTTGAGTGACAGCCATAAGGTGCTGGCAAAATTTCTCGCAGAACAACAACAGCGCAACAGCAAGAGGGTGCTGTGTACCGGCTCAAAGAAGAGTGGGCTGCCAGGAGAGCTCTGTACGGCCCCTTCACACCCAGGATCCCAATATCCTGTTCTGCAAGCTCACGAAAAGCCCCTGTGGCTCTGAACCACCATGGAGAAGGTCCAAAACAAACACCGTCTCCACAGGCAAGCACTCTGCCTCTCTGTGTTTTCAGAGACCGAAAGCAGCATCTACACAAAGCTGCTGGTTTCCTAACCAACAGGAAAGAGCTGAAGTGTAGCGATCAGACCACAAACAGCTATTGATGCTCCCCGCAGTTAGCAGCCCCTTCACTCGGCTATGGTGAGAGAACTCGCTCTGTTCTCAGGGACCCGGGGGTGCGGCCAGCCTCGCCTCGTGTGGAGTGACCATGGCAGCCCCGACAGCACGACCTGCAAGTGCTGCCTCCTGCCCATGGGCAGAGCCGTGCAGGCCATGGCTTAAGTGCACGCACAGCTATAATTGCACCTGCCTCATCAGCACGGCAGGCACAGTGGCAAGCCCGTCAAACTTCTGCCTCCACATCTGGCAGCAGCAAGTTCCAAGGTTAATTACGCACCTTGAATCCCAGCACTCCCTTTACCAAGAGGGGCTGCGTTCCTATTCTGGTGTTCCTGGAGTCCGAGAGGCTAAACAGAAGCAAGCCATTTACTGTTTGCTGCGTTATTACTCGGAATCAATCTGCTCCCTTTCCTGACACCTCTTCCCCCCCTTTCACGCAGTGTCCTTCTAAACATTAATCACTTCTGCACACTTTCCATTCTTGTCTCCCCCACACCCTCAAAACGTGAGCACAGCAGTCACAGGGAGCGCTTGATGGATTTCTGTAACAGCAGTATCCTTCTCTCCCCATCTTTTAATAAGAACGAGTTCAGCCTCCTTCTGCCACCCACTGACCTGTGCAGCCCAAGCTGCCTGTGACAGCACCAAGGCCTTTCTTCCACTTGCCAAGTTACGCTCAATTTAGTACTCGGCAACACATGGGAGAAACTCAACGTGTTTCTTCCAACAATTGCACAACGGCCACACGGTTAGAAAATACCTCCCCTTTCGCCCAAGGATACGTGATGCAATTTAATACTTTCTGATGTGGCTCTATATGAGGTCAGAGGGGCCAAAGGACACTTGCCGGCTCCCTTGCTTGTCAAGGTAGGTTTGTCACAAGTGCCATACGGCAGATGAGAACGCGGAGGGGGGGATGAGGAGGGTGGGGGCGGCTCTTCTCTTTGTACATCTTCGAAGAGACAAAGCTTTCTGCAGGCACTTCTGTAACATGACCATAGATGACAACAGTAGTTGTAAGGTTATCTTTTCCCCCTCTATCCCAAATATGTCAGAGGCTTCGTGCAACTCTTGCAACATCTTGAATGTCACATAGTTTAGTGAATTCCTCCAAATTTCCTTGGCATTTTCTGCACTCTGCACTACATGGACTACCAGGTTATCTTCCCATTTTGCCAGCTCATCTGATCACCAAGATACCATGGATCAGTAGTTCACAATCCCTCAGTCTCGGGAAAGGTCTATAAGCTACCCCTCCATGTAACATAGCCCTTCTCTGCTTTCTCAACTCCTTTCCCAAACACACTGAAGCCACTGCCTAGAAACACAAATGTGCTGCCTCATCCTTAAAAAGCCATGTTCCTGAAGCTGCAAATTCCCTAAAGTAACAAAGTCACCAAATTGCTGCTCGAAGCAGAAAGACAAATTATGCAAGGAAACCAAATGCCTCAAGCCCTGCCAGGAAAGGAAGAGAAACCACAGAGGGGACAGCCAGAGCCTGGGCCGCAGAAGCAGGGGCCAGCAAAGCCAGAGCATCAGCCACCTCCCACAGCATCTCAGCAAGGCCAGGAGCTCCATTCCCACTGTCGTCTTGTCTGCCACCCAGCCATGTCCGCCCAGTCATCCCCAGTCCCACCCACAGCAGCTCCCACTGCACCCCAAGCCTCCAGCTCCAGTGCCTGCAGCCTCATGCTCCCGTCAGCTCACACATCCCATGCCATATACCCCACCCCAAAGCCCCATTCCTTGCTCCAGGCCAGCCCCTGGCCCAACACCTTCAATCCCACCCCATGATCTACACCAGCCCTCCAAAACCACAGACCCCACGACTCTGGCTGCACCCCA